CTGGCGGAGGAAGCCGCAGCTGCGGAGGAATGCGGAGCGCAGCGCCTGGAGCCGTGTCAGCGCGCCCGGCCCTGGCGCCTGCGTGCGGGGAAAAGACTATTTATAATATCAGGGCTCTCGTAATCCCTCTGGGAATCGCCGGAGCCGCTGCTTGGATCTGCTGAAACGGGGTAATGGAAGATAAAAACGCCAACGGCGGAGCCGCAGGGGGGTTCGAGATGAAAGGTCCCAGTTCCCTCAGGCGCTGTCCTGATGTTGGCGGCCCGGGACGTGCTCGGGATCTGCAGCTGGTCGGTCGCTTCGTTTGATGAAAGTAGCATCTAATAAATGGTCGTGTAAGCCCCCCGAGGCTCCGCACAATTGCAGATATCCCAGGGAACAAGTAGTGTGGCATTGAGGTGATGCAACTGGAGCAATAGTCAAACAGCAGGAGAAAATTCCAAGCAGGAGGAGTCCTGCAGCGGCTCTGCAGGTAGCCACGGATCTGTCCTTGGGGACCTCCAAGTGTCTCCCTAGGTCGCCCCAAGGCTGGGGGTTACTCCCCTTCTTGGATCCTGGCTAACCTTAATGCTTATTTTTCCATGGAATGTTTCTGATATTCCCTCAGTTCCTTGGATTTCGCTGAATAGAGAAAAAGACTTGGTGAAATCCAAGCCTGAGCAATAGGTGCCGGTCCCCCCGGCAGGAAAAGCTGAGGGGCGGATGCTGCTGCTCCTCGGGCCGCAGCAGAGGCGACTTTTGGGGAGAAATGCGGTGAAAACAGTGTTGGCCAAGCGGGAGAGGCCGCGGGAGCCGCCTTCACCCGGAGCAGCAGCTCTTGGCGCCGCCGCTCCCAAAGTCCCAGGGGTCGGAAAAGCTGCAGCAATAGCTGCTTCGCTCAGAAAAAGTCACGGGCAGTTGTCCCTTTTTTTAATTTCCATTCTTTGTCCTGTTGTCTTTCTGCCTGTTTGTTTGGTTAGGGTGTTTTGCTAGCAAAAGAAAGGTTTATCCCCATTGTCTGCAGCCCGTTGACACGCAGCAGTTTGTGTTCGATTTGGCATTTTCTTCTAGCGAGAGATCTGATGTAACTCAGAAATCTTGGAGCTGCGGAGGTCTTTGCAAGCCTGATTTTTTTGTTGTTTATACATTCTTTTGCCTCGCTGGAGGGAAAGCACCATTTGTTTGCAGTCAAGCTGCACTTTGAACTGAGCACGCAAGTCAGTAGAAAAGCGCCAAAACGCCGTTTTGGACATTAAGATGCTTTTATTTATCTGCTGGACACGCACAAAAAAAGACTTGTAGCGTTTTTGTTGTTGTTTCGAAGCAGCGTGCTGAACAAAGAAAGTATTGACGGTAGCTAATGAATCGAGGGATTGTTCCTGGGTGCCGCACGCTGGGTTTACCGGGGTATTTAGCCGTCGAACGCGTGGGGTTTTCGGTGCAGCCCAAGCGAGCGCAGATGCACGAGGTTCCTCCCCGCGAGCGGAGCGGGCCTGGAGCCGGCCCAGCTGGAATCTTCTTGGCAGCGGCTCCCTGTGCCGAGCGGGGCCTGGCGCGGCGCCACGGACAGGCTGCTGCGTGCCGAGCGCGCTCTCCCTCCGAACGGCTCCTCCGGGGCTCCGGAAAACCCTTGGGAAATGCGCGTGTCCTCCCGGAGGACGCCGGTCCTGCCGCTGCTTTCCGTGGGGTGCAGGGTTGTGAACGCGGGTGCCGCGTCCAGCATCCCTCAAACTGTCACAGCGCGGGGCGTCCTCTTGTGCCTGGATTCCCGGGTGGGCCGCGTGGTGCTTCTCCCTGTGCTTGACTAGCTCAAAGGCACCTAGAAGCTCTAAGCAGGCTCGGAAAGTGTTTTTTTTCCGTCTTTTTTAAATCCCCTTCGCCACCATCTCTGCAAACGCACCGGTGTTGTCTGCGCTTGTCGCTGCTGCTGCTTTAGCAAAGTTCGGAGATGAGCTTTGCTCAGAGCGGGGCTCTGAAGCGCTGCTCTGTGGGGATTGCAAAGCATCCTAAAAGCCTGGGAGGGAGACGCTGGTCACCGCGCGTTCGTGGGCAGCTACCCCCAGCAGCCGACTCCACGGGTGGATGCGTTAAGCTGAGCCCAGCGTTCCGGCGTGCAGGGCTGCCGTGTCCCGTGCGTTGCCTCCGTGTTTGCACGAGCGCGCGGGAGCGAGCAAGCCGAGCGGGGAAGCAGCAGGGACCTCCCTGCAGAGCTTCCCGCCAGCTCCTCGCTGCTTTTGGGGGTAAATCGGTGTGTTCTGGCGCGCGGGGCTCGCTCCGGGCTGCGGTGGGAAGGGGGATTTGGCTCTCTCCTCTGCCCGGGCTTGGCAGTGACCGACCCTCTCTTTGCAGGCCCTGCTGAGCAGGAGGAGCAGGAGGCAGCGGCGTCGCCCCCGCGCTCCGAGCAGCCCTTCCTGGCAGCCCGTGCTCCGACCCGCTGGTTCCTCGCCGCGTCCCCGCTCGCCAGCGCGGGATTATGTTCGTCTCCTTCTCCCTGTGCTCCATCGTTTGGCTGAACCGTGGCTTCAAGCTCAGGAAAAGGGGCTGCACTTAAGTGTGCGGGGCCGCTGGGGTCCCGCCTGGCGCGGAGACGTCGTCGGGCACTGATGGGTGAGAGGTGCCCGTGAGGAGCCGCAGACGCTCCCGCGCGGCAGCGACGATGGGCAGCGCCGACGGCTTCCAGTACCGCGCGCTCTACCCCTACCGCAAGGAGCGCGACGAGGACATTGACCTGGCGCCCGGGGACATCCTGGTGGTGAGCAAGGGCGCCCTGCAAGCGCTGGGCTGCAAGGACGGCGACGAGCAGGTCCCCAAGCAGATCGGCTGGATCCTGGGCGTCAACGAGCGGACCAAGCAGAAGGGAGACTTCCCCGGCACCTACGTGGAGTACGTGGGGCCCGTGAAGATCTCCGTGCCCTCGCACCGGCCCCGCGTGCAGAGGCCCCTGCCCGCGACGCCGGGCACCGGCGCGTGCCGCTTGCCGGAGGCTCCGGAGCAAGGTAAGCCGTGCCGCCACGTGGACGGAGCCTCATCCAGTCTGTGTCCGCTCCGGCACCGCCGGAGAGCGGGCGGGAGCAGGA